ATCAGCAAGCCGGTGCCGCCGGGCGGCTGCGAAGTGCCGCCCGTGCCCCCGCGGAGGGTGCGCAGCGGACGGGCGGCCGCGGCGCTGGGAGCGGCTCTGGGCGGCCGCTGCCGGGCGGCGGGGTCCGGGGCCGCGGCCGTGGCCGGAACCGGGACCGGAGCGGGGTCTGAACCGCGGCGGAGCATCAAGTGCGTGCTGGTGGGGGACGGCGCGGTGGGCAAGACCAGCCTGGTGGTGAGCTACACCACCAACGGGTACCCCACCGAGTACATCCCCACTGCCTTCGACAACTTCTCCGGTAAGTGACCGGGGTACCGCGGGGACCGAGGCGGCGGGAGGGGCGGCAGGGAGCGCGTCCCGGTCGTGCCTCTCCCAGGGCCGTGGCTTGGCTGCTTGGAGGGGCTGATGTCCAACTTCGGTGATTTCTTTATTTATTTGTGGGGAGCAGGACCCTACCCGGGCAGGACCGGAGCTTGTCAGGCTGCCATCGCAGGCAGCAGCACCAGCCAGTCGCCGGTGTAACGGAGCCGGGCTGGCAGCGGCTGTCGTGCCTGGCGGTGCGACCAGAGCCGAGCTTTAATTGGGAACTCTCCGCTGTAAAGCTTAGCGCTCCCGGGCGTATCGGAACGGCCTAAAGGTCAGGTTAAATACCTTCTCTAGCCCCTGCGAAGGGAGAGGTTCTGGGGTTTCTCTGTGATTCAGCGGAGGCTTTTTCTGTCCCGGGCGTGCTGAAGGTGTACGGCGGGGAGAATAAACTAAACCCTCGTAGCAGAATAAGATTCTGGACTGCTCTTGGCGCTGCTGGCGGAGAGCTGGTGCCGTCACCGCCTACATCATCTCTTGTAGTGAAATGAATAGGAAAGCCCTGAAGGGCCTGTGTGTGCCCAAGTGTTAGCGACAGACTCCCTTCCAGCTCTGCTAAATCGTTGAATCTAAACTAATTGAAGAAAGATAAGAACTGATTTTTTAATTTTTCCGTAATGGAAAACGTGTAAACTTGGACTCACCTCAGTTTTACCTTCCCTTCTTTCTCTCCAAAGCTGTTGTGTCTGTCGATGGGAAGCCAGTGAGACTTCAGCTCTGTGACACAGCTGGTCAGGTCAGTGGAGCCACTTATTTGATTTCAGCGGCAGCGGGAGGGGAGAAGTTGTTGCGCAAAGCTGTCCTGCAAATGACTTCATGGATTTGAAAGTATTCCCAGTGTTTGATCATCTTATTATCCGCTATCATTTTCATTGCTGCTTAACGCCCTGCTTTGTCCGGTGTCTGTTGAAGAGTGGGGGCCGTACTGTGCCTCTGTATAGGGGCTGGCCACAGGCTGCTGCTCTGCTGGCTCAAGCTGCTGCTGTGTTTAGCCTGACTAGAAAGGCTGAACATATTGGGGATTCAATGGCCACCTGGTTTTCTCTTTGAGCAGTTGTCACTGTCTTTATCTTCGCTGAATTAATTGCATTTAAGAATTAGGGTATTTGGGATGTATGCATGCAAAGTATCCACAGCTTTAGGTGTCCAGAGATAGAGTGTGTTTTTGAAGGGACAGAGGCTGAAGGGAGAAAAAAGTCCTGTTGGGTATTGTCCGTGGAGACTTCATATTTGCCATTCCCACCCCCTTAAAAGTGATGCTGCCGCAAAGCTGAGGTTTGCTGTAATCTAAGATCTGAAGAGATGAGGGTAGCTGATGTCTCTCATCTCCTAGTTTGCCTGATACATAAAAAGAGCCAATTTCTTACCACCTTGTATTTTCTGCAAATCCCCGGCTTGTACCATTGTGAGCAGTGTGCAACACTGCTTGCCAGGGGTCAAGGCTGGATAACCAAAAGTAAGCAAAAATATTTGCTATCTCTCTGTAATTTAAAGGCAGTGGGAGTTGGGATCCTTCACAGCTTTGTGGATCTAGGTCTATACCTTCACCAAAAACATGCTGAAAAATCTCAGTGGCCTTAACATACAAACCCATTTAGATGAGTAGTAACTGGGTGTCCTACTTAGGAAAGGGGTTTGAAGGGCTATGTAATCCTCGACAGCAGTGTAAGACTCCCATGCGCACTACAAACCAATGCTGAAATCCTACAAATGGCATTCTGCGAGTACCAATATGAAGTTAAACAGCAAGACTGTCCCATAATTTTGTGTCCTACTGAAGAGATGGGGTGGTACTACAGCAGCATGGGCTGTGCATGTTCATATGCAGAGTGTGGCAGGTGAAATTGCCATCGGATGACAGTCTGTGGATATGTAGTGCCTCTGGAAATGCAGCTTCAAGCTGCAGGAGGGATGGGCAGGCCACCCCAGCACCTCTTGCCTTTATTAAGGCCTCTTACCATTAATGCTTAAGATGTTTGCTATGGCTGCCCAAGGGCAGCTGGAGTGGGTAAAGTCACTGCCTTTAAAATGAAAAGATTATCTAAACTGGCAGAAGTCGTCCTGAGTAAAAGATTCCTAGGTGGATACTTTGGTAAAACTGCTACTGGGAGATGGCTGCTGAAATCTGCAGCTAAAAGAGCACTCCAGACAGAGGGAAATTCTATTTCAGCTTCTACTTCTATTTCCTCACTAGCCCAAAGAGGTATAGAGTCTCTGTGGACCATGTACCTACCATTGAAACAGCAGGAGTGTACTTGGGATATAAAGGGCACTATTTCATCTTGGTGGAAACCCTTAAGATCTGGGTTTGGCTTCCAAACCCATTGAATTGAGACCTTTTGAGCTTTCTCAGGTAGCAAGAAGAGGCAATTACATGGCAAAGTACCTTTCTGCAAACAGCCCTGTTGTTCAGCACAGCATCTCTCAGTAGATCTGGGGGTTTTCTCGAGCCAAGCAGTGAGAGCCTCGTTTCCTCTGAGGCTTAATCTGAGAATCAAGAGAGCTAATGAAGCTTACTTTCTTGACTCATGTTTTATAAATCGCTGTCTCTCCCAGAGATACTGCTAGAAGAAATTCATTTGAGTGGAACAGGACTTCTGAGGCTTCCAGGGGTCTTTAAACTGCGTATCTTGGGCCTCCAGAGGCTTTAAAGCAAAATCTCACCTCTCAAAAATTAACATGGAACATGGAACTTGAAATTCAACAGTAAACTGCTAGTACCAGGGAGATGTTTTCAGCTCTATGTTTCTGTGCACTTTCAATTCCAAGCTTTTGAGAACATGGTCTGTTTTAATTAAAATGTCACTGCCGCTGAGGCAAATCCTACCTGTTCAGGCTGCTAGTGTTACCCTGCTTTTATCCTGCTGTCAGCATAAAAGCAGCCTGCCTGGAGTTAACCCTTGTTTCTAGCTGCATTCTTCCCTGAGGATCAGCATACCTTTGTTACCATGTTGGCTTTCTTGTGGCTAGATCTTGAAGCTGAAAAAGGCCATGCTTTGCTAGAGTTTGCACTAAAAGGAAAGAAAAAAACCCAGAAAGGTGGTGCTGGGAGGCCCGATTGCAGTTTGTTTGATGTGGCATGGGTGGGAGGGAAAGGTAAAGCTCTTACTCTATGTAATCGGCATGTTAAGCCTGCACATTGTAAACCATTATTGCACCCTTTAGATTTAAATCCCTGTGCACAATGGCAGGGAAATTATTCCCGTATCCTGTAGGATGTTGTTAAGTAGTTACCAGTTTAAAAGCCATCACCAGGAAAGGTACCCAGAAGGGTACCTGCTGCCACATGCCTGCTCTCTGACCTGTCAGCAGAGCAGCTTTGAGGTACATGGGTGCTCCTCATCAGAGCTGCTCACTGACTCACCCCTTCAAGAGGTGGCCCTGTAGAAAGTACTTTCTCCCTCTTTAATTTTTGGCTTCCTGTACTGTAACCTGCTTCCCGCAGCTTTGCTTCTTTGCTGAAGTAGGGCAGAGGGCCTCCGTACAAAGAGCAAAGGAAATATTTAAGCACTTGAAATAACCTGTGGCACGAATCAGAATATCTCAGGTACGCGGGGAAACCACTACCTTCGTCCTGTGTGCCCAGCAGTGGCAGGGTGCCTGCTGGCTGACAGCCATGAGACCTCAGGCTGAGTACAGGCAACTTCTCCTTGTAACACACCTTGTTGGGTACTCTGGGTGCTCATTTTGAGATGCTTTTCGAGGGGGCAGTGGCAGGTGATCTTCAACTTCCCCAAAGGTCAGCAGCAGGCTAGAGCTGCTCTTCTGTGGGGTGCTAATGCAATTTTGTTCCATGCAGGATGAATTTGACAAGCTCAGGCCTCTGTGCTACACCAACACGGACATCTTCTTGCTGTGCTTCAGTGTGGTGAGCCCTTCATCCTTCCAGAATGTGAGTGAGAAGTGGGTTCCTGAAATTCGATGCCACTGCCCCAAGGCACCCATAATCCTGGTTGGGACACAGTCGGACCTCCGAGAGGATGTCAAAGTCCTCATTGAGCTGGACAAGTGCAAAGAAAAGCCAGTCTCGGAGGAGGCTGCGAAGCTCTGTGCCGAGGAAATAAAAGCTGCGTCCTACATTGAGTGCTCTGCTTTGACTCAGAAAAACCTCAAGGAGGTCTTTGATGCAGCCATCGTGGCTGGTATTCAGTACTCGGATACCCAGCAGCAACCAAAGAAATCCAAGTGTAGGACTCCAGATAAGATGAAAAACCTCTCCAAATCCTGGTGGAAAAAATACTGCTGTTTTGTATAGGGATTACAAGGACCTGAGTGCTGCTCTGAGGAAATCGAATAGAGGCTATATTAGCTGAAATCTCAATTTGTGTTGTCCCGAGTGTATAATGTAGATCTGTATGTATGTGTATATGTTGCTACTGGATATCTCAGTTGCCCTTTTGAGGGTTGCAGAAGGATTCTTAGTTAAACAATTGCTATAGATCAGGTCTGGCATCCAGTTTTGTGACTAAAACTTCTCATTAAGGAAAAAAAGCACCATGTGTCTGTGAGCATAGAAGGATTTGTCCAAAGGATTCAACTTCTTGTGTTGTAAGGTGTATGTGACTGACTGGGAGGAGCACACACCAGAGGCCTTCACTGCCAGGGCTTCGCAGGAGGAACGCACAAGTAACGGTGGAAGCGTAGAGCTCTGTACGTGGACGATCAAAGGGAAAAATAACACTGTGCCTCCAAATTGACATTTGTAGCTTTAAAACCCCATTCCTGCTCTCTTCTCTGTGTCTTCCCAAGCCAACACTCTTAGGGATCACTTTAAAAAGGATATGCAAGAGGTGTAATCTATACGCAAATGCCATAGTTAAAAAGGTCAAGAGTATACCTTCAGCTTGTGGTGAGGGAACCTAATCCCTTATGGAGCTGACATCTCATTTGTCACCTCCTGACTTTGTGAAAGTCCTTTCTGTCCTCCTTCCCCTGCCTTTCCCAGGAAGCCGAGTGGAAGCCCAAGAACATGACCAAGCTTTAACTCGCTACCTCGAGCAGTGGTGATTTCCTCTGTATTTTTGCAGATGTGATGGCAGTTCATCTATTTCAGTTGAAAGGAATGTAAATACTGTTGTGTTGGGGTTTTTGGGTTTTTTTAAGCGATGTAACAAATATCCATGCAGCACCATGTAAACTGCATCTGTTTTTTAAGTCTGCAGCAGGGAATTTCAGGATGCCCATCCTTATGTTTTAAGGCTGCTAAACAAGTAACAAATCAGGCAGATTGAGATTAATAACAAACTGGACTCTAGAAACTGAGACTGGTACATCTTCTTTATGATGCTGTTTTCAACCAATTTAGTGTTTCCCTTCTAAAGGGCACCAGTCACTTTTGGTTGAATCTTGTCCAAGCTTATAGTTGTGAAATTGACTGAGGCCACCCTGGAAATATAACTAATAATTCTTTTTTTCTCATATCAGTCCAACAGATTAACTGAAATGTGCCTAAAATGTAGCTGGGGAATCAGTGTAGAGTTGAGTGTGACCTGTTCTTTGAATCTGGTTCCTACTGAACTAAGCCTAACTGCAGTTGTAATGAGTTTGACAGACCTGAGTGATAATGCGACTCTCTGCAAGAATCAGTATTTAAACTTATTCTGCAGAGGATGTTTAGTTTGTGCTGTTTGTGTACCTTTTTGTGGCCACAACTACTTTTTCTTTTCCCCTAGATATTTCAAGATCAGATTATATTTCCTTTTTTTTCCCCTTTGACCATAGCCTTGAAGTGACCTTTTCCTTATTCTTAAACTAAACTGCAGTGACAGAAGGCTGGAACCTTTTTTCATCAGAAATGAATCAATGCCTGATATAAGGAACTGTGGAGGCCATTTGAGTTGATAAAGCTGACCACAGTTTACCTCCTGCCCCATTAAGGAAAATGACACTGTGTGAATGGATTCTGGGCTGAATTGGCATAGGCTCCACAAGCAATATTTTTTCCTTCTCTACGGCTGAATGAGTGCAGAATGGGTAATGTTCCATTGCTGAAAACTTGAAAATGGGATGGAAATCTTTACCTAGGGCCTAATTCAATAAAAATATGTTGGCTTCTGCACTGGAAGAGCCTGGAAAAACAGTTTCCATAGCACAGAAGCTGGATGCATTTAACTTGGTTTCATCTAGTTGGTAGTGGTTTAATGTTTACTGGTCATGAAACTAACATCTGAGCCTTTGTATTTGTTACTCAAATGCTTTGACAGGATTTCAGATATGCAGTCATACTGACATCTTGGAGAAATCCAGCCAGATTTCTCTTGGGTGCTTTGCTTGTCTGTAAAAAACAGTCTCGGTCAATCAAAAATGTGGTTTTGGGGAGGAGACAGGCTTGAATCTGCGCAGCTTCCATTTGCAAAAATAACAGAATTTCTTCTGCAAGATTATACTGCTTGGTATCGTGCTGTACTGGAAGCAGTGGATTATATTTTATAAGCGGCCTGTTTCATAGTCTGGAGTAGCATTACTTTTAAATATAGCCAGCTGTGACTGTTTCTGAAGATGTGATTTATATACAACTTGTTATAGCCCTTTACTAGGTGTGTGTAAACTGAGGTCTAATAACTTTATGGATACTTCTCTACATGGGGCTACACAGGGTCTAGGTTTTAGAAATATTACTTTTAAAATTACCAGTATTTTATGAGCGCAAATGAGGGGGAGATGTCTCTATGTAGTTTATAATCTGATGTGCCTTATAAAAAAACCTCTCTTCTGTTTTCTAAGTGTAGGCTATATTCCAAAAGAAATATTTCATGTGAGAATGATATAAATGAGGTATTTGAAAATAAATTCTGACCTGTGTACGTGTCTGCCTCTGCTGTGTGCTCAAGGAGGCTAGAGGGGTGTCCCTGGACATGCACTGTGCCGATACCCAGCAGGGAGGAGGCAACTGCACTGCCAGCCTAGGACTGTGCTCCCAGTGCCCCATCAAAAGGCCTCTGCTCAAAAAATACAGCCTTTTCCCTGTGCTGCTTCTCCTCAGGGGGCTGGGCTGGGTGGGAAGGGTATGATAGCCAGTATTCTGTCTCACTGCCAACACAGCAGCATCTTGCTGTGTCCCTGTGAGGCATGGGCAGGCTCGTTGTGCCTGGCCCCCGAAACTGGGGTGAGCAGCCAGAGGAGCACAGCACAACTGGGGACAGCTGGGGGAACACCAAGACTAGTGATGTGGTCTTTTACCTGCTGCACGTTGTGCCACATATGTCCTGGGGGAGCCAGAGGGCATTTTTGGAAGAGTGGAGCCCATTCCCTCTTGACACCAAGGGTCTTGTCACTCCTTCCTGGGTCTTGTCCCTCATACCAGGGCCAAGGCATGTGAGGTTTGAGGCTTTTCATGCCCAGGACGTGGGTGGCCATAGCAGAGGGGCCTTCTGCACTTCAGTGCCACTGTGTTAGCCAAGTGGGGAGCAGAATCCAGACCCCCAAGCATTTCCACAGAGCCAGTGTCCTGCTGTGAAACTGCTCTGGAGAAGGAGCTTTGCTCTGGACAAAAGTTAGTAAACTGTCCCCATTGTGTTTGGTTTTCTGGGAGCTGAGAGGAGCAGACGTTCTGTCTGGGATGGCATACCAGGTTGCCCTCCCATGCCGCCTGTCTCTTGGTTTGTGAGGTGGATGCATTTTCAACCATTAGAATGCACACAACCTTCACAAACTAGAGGAAGGAGATTGTTCCTTCTTCCCATGATTGGTTCCTCACTGAAGCAAAGCCTTGGCTTCTTTTCTGCTTTTTAACTGTGATCCTGGGGACTGTTGTGAAGGCTGGTTCACCTTGTTCTGCCTGTAGCACAGTGACCCTGCCTGAGAGCCCAACTTGCCAGCAGGCTCCTTTCTGGTGAGTACCTGGTGTTGAATCACCACTGCTGTTGCTGGTGCCTTCAAAGAACCACTTCCATGGGCTTTCTGCACTGGACAGCGTGGTCGGTGTGTACTGGCTGGGAACCGAATCTCCCCACTTTTGCATGCTAACTTTGCAGGAAACGGGGCTGTGCTAGCTGAGAGACCAGAACTGCCAAGTCCTGGCAGAAAAATGCCCCTGCTACCTGTGGGGCCTTGCTTTTCTGGCGTCTGGACAGGGCTAAAGCAGTTGAGCTTTATGCCAGGGTAATTTTGTGCATGTGGGTGCTGCTGTGATCAAGAGGCTCCCTCAGCTGCCCTGCTTCAGATACTGGATGGACCAATGGCTGAGGCTGATAAGGTCGTACTGAAGGAAGCCCACTGTACATAAGATTTTTCAGGAATGCTGAAATTGCTGTTGAATGCTGAAATTTTGTGATGGATGAAAGTTCCTAAGAGTGAATTTTGTTTTATTTCATACAAAATTAAAGTGCTCTAGGAAAAATTCAACTCTCTTTTTTTTTTTTTTTTTGATGGAGAAAAAAGTCACCTTTACAATGTCCCCCTCTGTATTTTCTGGATTGGACACACTTCTAGGATATGACTGAGGATTGACTAGAGCTGAGACATTGACAAATACAGCAGTTTTGGGAGAGGGTGTTTGTAAGGAAATTTCACCACACTCTTACTTTGCTTTTGATTTTCTTTCTAAACATCAGCCACTGCCCACAGAGAGGGAGAGACTGCTGCAGGAGATGGTGTTTTTGTATGACCACAAACAGCTGATCTAGTGTTGACATATGTATTATGCTTAAATACTGAACTTTGCTGAAGCACTTTAGTGCCCTTACAACTGAGCAACCATTCTGAGCTCTAGTAATTGATTTGCGCAGAGGTTTGTACAGAAGAGACCTCTGTCAGTTTCTGCCTTTGATGTTGCCCTGGCATGCAGCAAGGTGAGGAGAGGGGGAAAACAACCGCACAGGAAAGAGTTGAGACATTGTAAACCTCGAGAGAACTGGCAAAGGGATTCCTGGGTAATGGGGAGTACTAGATGCTACTTTTACCGACTTTAGGCATTAGCAGATTAAAAGCCCAATTAGAGTAATGCATGAGGAAATGAACAGCCCCAAGGAGGGCTGTTAGGTATAAAAATACAGCCTTTTCTTTAGGAAATCTCAAAGCTGTGGATAGCTGGAAGCTGGGAGGAAATGTCACTACACTGTAGGGAAAAATCACTGTATTTGTTTGGTTCTTATATTCTCTCCCCAAGCATCTGTGCTGACTAGGGACAGGATGTGGCATGAGGTGGACTTTTGGCATCAATCAGCCTGGCTGTCCCAGTGTATTTAATGTTTTTGAAAGAGCAGGATGGGTTTCAGGCCAACAGCGGGGCCCCAAGATCCAATAGGACCTTCTGAAGCTTTAGCTTCCTGTATAGCCGGCAGCCAGGAGGAAGAGGTAATGGGTGAGGGTCGTTCATTACCC